ATTTTTGAACAAATATATCAATTATAATTCAATAAAATTTTCAAAAATAATAAAAATTTTCTAGGTCAATCACAAGGATGTAATATAATATTGGATAATTTTTCAATTTTTTTTGAAGAATACGATTTTTTATGAATTCTAAATTAAGAAATAAAAATAAAAAATATTTACAATTTAAGAAAAAGGAAAATAAGGGTGCAGATATCCGGATGACGTCAACACTCGACGAATGCAAATCAAGCAAAAATAGAGTTCCATCTAGTGATTCTTACGTAAGCAATTATAGATGATTTAATTGATCAAATTGAGATTTGTAAAAGTCAGAAGAATCATTATTGAATGAATAATAATTTGGTAGATTTAAATTACACAAATTATTATTAAATGAAACAAAAATTAAGTTGAAAATTGAAAAACAGAGTTCCAGCATCACAGCAATGATGCGTTGATGATGCACTAGAATCCTGAACATTTAGGGGGACTGTGACAACATAGATAATTTCTAGATCTTATTGCAAAGTCTAGAGATCAATGAAATGGGTTGTCGAATCATCTCTAGCAACTATCACTTAATAGAGCAGAAAAATAATGACTTTGTAGCTTTTTGGCGGCTGTCACCCCATGGAGAGGAGCTAAATAGAGGTGGGGTACATGTTAGGGAGCTTCATCTTTAGATCCACACAAAAAGAGGAGACTCTTGATCGCATCTGATACGTTCTAAGGAGGTGGCGACTTGTCTCCTAATGGATCGTCCTCTTCTCGATGATGACTTGTTCGTCGATCAATCAAAGATATTTTACTTGATGGATTCACAATCTTTTTATCGTGAATCGTTCAACAATTTCAATAAGAATACTTCGCAAATCACGTTGATGAGATTTTTGCCGATGATCGAGCGATTCTAATAACTTAATCCTTCATTGATGATCTGTAGGAAAGTGCGATTTAATCAGATAAAAATATGAGTTTGACTCTAACTAGATTTGAACCCACGTCGGTCGCCTAACTTGATGAGAGAGATTAAAATAAGTACTATAATACCTTTATAAAGTGACATCATCATGGGTGTATTACTATTGTTATTAAGAGGTATTTTTGGTATTAAAATAAATAAAATAATTTTAGAGAAGGTGTGATGCGGGTTTAGTCTCACATCAATTGTATGTCGAAGTTTTGGGTGAATATATAGTAATATCGTCTTTCCATGCAATGAGTCCCTTTCTCCCACATGTACGACCACTCTTTGTCTCATAGTCGGCTAGCCACCGGTGACGTGGAAAGGAAGTGACGCACATGTGCCCCCATCGGTCCAAAGCCACTCAAGCCCCTACTTGCGACTCCCCCCGACTGCGCTTCTGACCTGCTTGTGGGCTCAGCTGGCTGGCGGGCCCCTTCTTTTTCTATATTTTATTTTAATTTATTTTTCTTCATTTATCTCAAAAATATGACTATAAAAATTATATAAATTCTTATAAAATCACATAATTAGCCAAAAAATTATATTAATTGATTGAAAAGCACTTTTCACAATTTAACATAAACATAAGTCTATTTATTATGAATTAAGGTTATAATTATATTATTTATTAATTATTACTCATGATAATGAAGACTTATTAGTCACTCAACAATTGAACACTCAATGTAGGAGAGAAAACATGTATGAAATAAAAAAAAATACACATTATATATTTTAAATCATCAGATCCCCTCATATGACTGTCACTCACACAAGGGACTCAATCATGTAGCAAAAAATGAAAGTTAAAGTATCAAACATGTTGAGAAGTCAAATGAATGTGCTAGAACTCTCTCTTCTCCCTTCTCTTTTATACCCCCCATGATAATGGGTTAGGTATGAGGGCTGATATTGGGCCTCACATTCTTGGCCAAATATCACTTAGAAAACATCTTAAATTCATGAATACATATAGAAAAATTCTAGCTCCACAAACCTTAGAAATCATGTTAGAGTATAGATCTAAAGATCAATACGCATACTAATTGAAAATTCATGAGATGTGTTAAAAAATCTGATTTAACCTTTTTCTTAAATTTTAGTTACATTTAAAATTAATAAAAATAATTTTTATTAAAATTTGATCTTAATTATCATCTAAGAATGATGCATTAACAACAAAGTAAAAGGAAGCAAGGATATTCATAATGTATAAAGCTCTATTGTCCACCTTAAAGTATTAGATCTTTAGGGTTGGATAATCTACTGATGTGAGTGAAGAGGGTAATATATTATTATGAACTTCAAATCTTTTGATTATGAAGTGTTAGAAAATAAATTTCAGGTGTCAATGTTGAAGGGTATTGTAATTGGAAGGTACAATGCTGCATTCAGATTATAGAGAATGGTAGCTGGTAGGAGTGGATTTTGTTTTCCTTTTGTAGGTTTAGGTGTTTCATTTTTCATGAACGTGTATGTCCTTGAGTTGATAAAGAAGTTAAAAAATAAATATTATGAAGCCCTTTGTACATTTATGAAGACTAGCTTTAGAATAATTGCAACATAGTGAGCCAATTTCACAAGATGTCTAGACATTGGAGATATTATTAAAATTAGGTGCCAGGAAGCTACCATTGGTTATCAAATTGCTGAAGGCAAGCAGCCAAAAGCCATAAACATGAAGAGGAATAGTGCTCACAGATGTGTATTTTCAGTCAAATGCAAATGACTAATTTTGCCCCTTCATGATTCCTTAGTCCATCCTAAATAAGCTAGACAGTGTTCTTGATATACAATCTAAATGAATATGAAATTTGATTTAGGACATCTTTGTAATTTTTCATTGTATGTGAACATGAAGATATGCTTTTATTTGTTTGTGAAAATGGTAAATGATTTTTTCCTCTAAAATTAGCTTTGATAAGTTTTTTGAAACTAATGACTATAAAATCGACATCAATATGAGATTTGGTCTAGGATTGATTTTTGTCATTGTTCATAGTACATGAACAAGAGGTCATGCCTTTTTTGTGACAAATAGTTAGTGATTATTTTCCATAAAAAATAGTAGTTCATAATTGGTTTTTGAACACAACCATCTCGCCTCATAGTCACATAGGTAGTAGACTACTTTACAGATTTGGAAACCTATTTATAAGAGAATGAGGTGACTAATATAGAGATCCATTGTTTTGCATTGGGTGTAAGATTTCTGAGATTGAGTTGGATCTTCATGAGCCTAGTCTTTTATTTGGATTATCTTAGCTTGGGAAAGCTGGTATATTCTTTTAAATCATGTTTTAAAAGGAGATTACATTTTGAAAAAAATGATGAAAGCGTCCCCAATAGTTTTGAATATTTGGCTGAAATAAATAATCACCAAATGGGTGAACTCCATATTTGGCACTATTTTGTCAACCCCCTCCTTCTGTTCTCTGGCACCTTTTGTCCCCAATTGGGTCTTTGTGGGCTCCACCACCTTCAAATCCCACTGATCACATCCGACAAGCAAGGGGCCCGCTTATTTACGAATTCGGGCCTATCGCCACATTGGGCAGACTGCGTTGTCCCCATCCCTTGACGTAATCTGATCAGGGATGAAGAGAGAGGGTAGAGAGAGACGTAGAGAGAGAGAGGGAGGAGGAAGTCTAATCAATGAGTGAGAACGTGACAACAGTACTAAGAACTCACTCGTTCCCCCTCTCTCTCTACGTCTCCTTAATGACAGGGTGGTCCTCTCTCACCCATTATCGAGCCCAGCCAATAAAACCACAGCAAAGAAATAAATAAAGAAAATAAAACCCCAATAAGTCAAAAAAATAATTAAATGAAACCTAATGAGTAGTTAAAAAAAATAAAATAAAATCGGGAATCCAGCCCTCAAAGGATGGACTTCTCTACTAAACCCAACCAAAAGAAAGATGGAAACTTTGACGCGGGCTCAGACGGGTCCATGCTCGCCGGTCAATGGACGTGAAATCACGGACACCACCAAGTACAGCCTGTTTTGGGTGGGCACACTAAAGAGTATTCGCGCAGACTACTTTAGCCCCCCTGTAGTGCTGGAAATGCTCAGTTTTTCCGCTTCGAGAAACTTCTAAAACGGGGGCCTAAACTAGAGAGGTAAGCGATTATTTTTCTACTGAACTTTGTTTTTTGGCATGTATGGGTGTTGTTGTATGAGCGAGTTAAGTACCCACGTCATGGATTCACACCACCGATCGGATGAAGGTTCGAAGTTAGTTTTTTCAAAAATATATTTCTAATGTTTTTTCATTGATTATGTCCCTAAAAATCAGGGCACATTTTTTTTATTGGATATTGTGCGATTTGATCCAAGATGCCCGGGAAAAGATGCCAAGAACGAGCTCTCATTCGACGATGAGGGCATTATTGTTTGGTCCAAAGCCTTGAACGATCAGGACATTAAAACGGAAGAGAAAATCGAATTTATTTTACATAAATTAAGTAGAAAATAGTTAGTTTGGAAAAAAGATGTCCAAAGAGGCACAAAACGGGCTCACTGGACTGCTGGCTCTTAGGTTATTCACACAATTATCATAAATGTTTTTAAACAGGAAATTCTAATATACCCGGAGATAAATTAGAATTTTGGAACATTTTAAAAAAATATCATTCGAGGTATAAGTATTCTCAAATGATTGGCCCCTAGCAACACAAGCGCAAGGGTGGTAGGAGGTCAGCTCAGAGCAATGCTGGTGGTACTCAGCCTGAATTCATGTGGTTGATAAGTCTACGTCATGTCTTTTAAATGAAGGTCATTGCCCAGTTCTTTCTGAGCCCCTACATTACCGAATGTGAGAGAGAGAGAGAGAGAGAGAGAGAGAGAGAGAGAGAGAGAGAGAGAGAGAGAGAGAGAGACCATACTGGATTATCACCGTCCAAATCACGACATAATTAGACAGGGTTGCCATTGGTGGCTTAATCACTCTGAACCCGTCGTACAACTTTTATTGCACACGGACATAAGAGGGTCGTACCACGTGTCCAACTGGGTTTCACTCAAACACGAACAGAAAACCTAGATCTTTGGCGGCAGCGTCTCGAGGATCCAGTCCCAGAAAGACGAGGTGACGCCGAATCCCAGGGTCTGGATTCTGAAGTGGTGGTTCATGTGGTAGCGCTGCATGAAAAAAGAAACCGGAGGGGAGGAATTTGAGAAGAGGAATCCAAGTGGGTTTCTTTCTTTTTGTAGAAAAAAAGAGGCAGATGCGTTGACCTTGAGGTTCCGGGCCGAATTAATGGAGGGGTGGCCGTGATGGAGGTAGTAGTGAGTGCAGTCGTAGATGATGTAGCCTAGGAGTTCACCGCCGAACAGGGCGGGGGCCATCAACGGCCCCACTACGAGCTTGCTGAGGTTCCAGAGCTGGAAGAACACAGCAACAATTGGGAAGATTAAGATAAGAGCCAGCAGATGGAACCGGGCAGAATAAAAGTAGACTAAGCAGCGCGCAGCGAGAGAGAGAGAGAGAGAGAGAGAGAGAGACATTGTTCGAGTTCTCAATGCTTAATAGGAAGGAAGGATCCTGATCCTGGATAGCCTGAAGTTTAAGAGAGGAGGGCGGTGGAACCGGGTGCAATATAACTGAATGAGAGGAGAGAGAGAGAGAGAGAGATTGGCCAGACTGAAGACGATGACTTTGGATTGGCCAAAATTTCCACAGCGTTCAGATCCAATCTTGGATACCATGAACAATAGTATCCAACTCTTTGCATCCCTGGGTTTCACTCAATAGCCATCAGCAACATGCTTTATATTATGAATAAACATTCATTGGCCATGAAAAGTTTTCTCCAAGACTTCATACCCATGAAGTTTTCTTTTTCTTTTTGCGTACTAAAACTAGCACCAAAGGGAGGAGAAGAAAAGCTTCTTACCGGGATGCATAGAATAGCCGTTGCAGCAGGTGGGAAGACCAGGCGTAGTCCGTCCATTGGGTGCTTATGGTGACAACCATGGATAAGATAATGTGCAGTGTTTCCCCTGCATTTGCAATATATACGTATATGTTTATATATACATGTAGAGAGAGAGAGAGAGAGAGAGAGAGAGAGGCATCGGATTCAAAAGATAAGTCACAAGAAAAATCATTAAAAAAACTGGAAAGGTGGTGGAGGATTTCTTCACCAGTAGCTCTTAGTCTTGATATGGAATAGGAAGCGGTGAATAATATACTCCAGTAATGTCCAGATGAACATTCCAGAGGGCACCATTACAGCCACTTGAGGAAATGTGCACCCCATCAGGACGGATCGGGAGATCGACCAGCAAACCACTGGAAGCCAGACGACAGGAATCGCCCACCACACGGTCCTCGTCAAGAACTGAAATTTGGATTCTGGGTTTCAAGAACTGTTTCTGGATTTACATAAATGGTCCGTAAACTGCACTGAGAAAAAGAAGAAAAGGAGACCCACCTCACAGAAATCACTCTTGAAGAACCGAGGGCTTTCCTTGCAGACAATGGGCTGGTGAACCCATTGGTCATAGGCCTCCCCAAGATGGCCGACCTTGAAATAGAAAAGAAATAAAATAAGAAAAAGAAATAAAGTCTGATTATTTCGTGTTAATGGGTTTTTTAATTTGTTCTCCCAGTGCATCATCTGGTTGTCAAATGAGGGGTCTCGAAGGCCAAGAGGAAATAGCACAGGAAAACATACCTGGAACGCAAGGGGCGCATGTAGATCGACGGTAAACTCCTGTGCGATCATCTTGGCACCTGGTCCAATTTCATCAGGAATTCTGGTGAAACAGAAAAGAACCGACGTGCACGCAATAATGAGCAAGAAAAAAAAACAATTTTTCGCGCGCATCAAGAAACGTTTTTCTGGGAAGATGAAAGCCAAGAAGATGTACGAAACCAATAATATCGTTATATTTTTATGTGATTACGAGTCACAGCCGCACTTGATTGAGCTCTTCAGGAAGAGTATGCTCAGCACCAGAGAAGAACAGAAGCGTAGACAGAAAAATTGACATCGGCGAGATTACCACCCGACCAGGATGGCGTGAATGCTTTCTGCGGTTGTTGTCACAAGCGGTAGATAGAAAATAGAATGCGATTTTCTAGAAATCCAAAAGAGCGTGGGGGAGAAGGCCAAAGAAATCGTTCTTCGGGGCCAGAACGAACCGGAAGAGTCAGAATGCTAAGCTTACTCGGCCGTGCCACCCCGCACCACTCCCTTCCCGCCGCCGGTATTTGAAGCCCTCGCGGAGGCGACGGAAGAAAATTCAGCGAGCGAGCGAGAGAGAGGGAGAGAGAGGGAGAGAGAGGGAGAGAGAGGGAGAGAGAGAGAGAGAGAGAAGGTGACGATAAAAACTGATGTGCACGCAAGAATGAGCAAAAAAAACCCTATATTTGGCGCGTCACTAGAATCTGTTTTCTTTTGTTTTAATGGGAAGATGGAAGTACAGTCTACTGTAGGATGCCGATAACATCAATGTAAAGAGATGGGGATATATTTTTTATGTGATTACGAGGCACAGCGGCACTTGATTGGGCTCTTGAAATGATCATCAGGAAGAGTCTGCTCAGTACCAGAGAAGAACACAAGCATAGACAGAAAAATTGTCATCGGGGAGATTACCACCCGACCAGGATGGCGTGAATGTTTCTGCGGTGGTCGTCACAAGCGGTAGGTAGAAAATAGAATGCGACTTTCTACAAGTCCATTTTTCAACTTAACATAAAAATGTGGATTCACAATTCAGCAACGCCCATCATCCCCCGGATCTTCCATTCCAATCTCTACTTCCCACACTACGAAAAGCATAAACCGGCGGCGCTCGCCAATCGAGCGAGATGCAAGCTAAAGAGCTTCTGTAATGGCACGCGACAGGAAAATAATACAAAAGATTCAAATAATTATAAAAGCCTCACAAAACTGAACTGTACACGTCTCTTCAGGAGAATAAGTGCACCGTCATCAAAGAATAAGAGTAAGAAAAGGAGAAAACACCGGGCAGAGTATAAAGCCGAGGGGGTCCTCTGCATCCGGCGCTCCATTGCTGAGTATAGAAACGACGCGATGCCGAACATTTTATGGATTATAAAGCACGTAAACCCATTCACAAGTATAGGAGGCATACAATAAAATTACGCGCAGAAAAGCCCTCCCCCAGGATGAAGATCTACTCACCCACGTCCCGGAATCCGAACAAGAACCAAGAGAGCAAAAGGAGAAGGCAAAAGAAATCCTTCTACCGAGCCAGAGCGAACCAGAAGAGGCAGAATGCTAAGCTTACTCGGCCGTGCCACCCCGCACCGCTCCCTCCCCGCCGCCGGTATTTGAGGCTCTCGCGGAGGCGACGGAAGAAAATTCAGCGAGAGAGACGAAAGGTGACCATCATCTCGCAGCTATATCTTTATATACTTAAATAGTCCTCAGCTGTCCTGCCGTTTCCACGGAGCGAGAGAATAAGAGTGCATAAACTAATTCTACAGGGGCTTCAAGCTAGTTTACATGCTGTGATTCGGTCTCCAAGAAAGATTCAGAATGATGATACACTGGGCTTCAGACGATACAGATTCACGACTGTTGAGTGGCCATCCCGTGGGCCCCACAAAGTAAGTCAGTATTTTGGTCGGCCCCACGCAACTCTCTTCTAAATTTATTCAAGTACAAGTTCAAACAGCTCCTCACTTTTGTCTTATAGTGGTGCCCGGATATTCTTATTATTTGGCATCTACCCCTATAAATTGCCTGAAATACCCCGCCAAAAATAAAAACATGTACGATACCCTTTTTTTGTAATAATAATATTTTAATTATTTTATGATTAGGATAGGTTAATATCAAGTTAAGGATTGGATTTTTATGGATTACTAATTAACTCACGAGAGCTTGAGCTCGAATGACCAATCCGGGCCAGATATCGAGCCCAAGCCCAAACACAAAAAATGATATTCCCCGATTTTGGATTTCTCGCAAGAAATCCCTAGAACGAATTGGAGTTACAACTATGTCCATAAAACTCTACAAATTGGAATTTAGTACATCTCATTGATTCGTTCACCGTGCCAGTGGGGCCCACGGGTACCATACTGGGCCAAAAATAAAGGAATTTTATTTTATTTTATTCAAAAGAACAAAATAAGATAATGAATCATAAATCTGAATGTGGACCATTCAGGCCCGCTCTCTGGATGACGCGTGGAGAAATGAGGCCTGCTTTGTCTGTCCTAATAGCAGGAGTGGGTCTGAAGGAGTCAGGGACTGGACTAATTGGACCGGCCCAAAATGACTTTAATGGGTCAAAAATCACTTCACTGGCCCATTAATAAAATTACTAAAACCGGAGGTCTTAAAACCTCCGCCACCGTTCACTCTCCGCTGCCGTTTCCTCGCAAACCCCTGATCGCCTCCTGGGGCCGCCATCGCCGTCGCCGTCGCCGGCGATCATTGCCGCCGCCGTGGGCCGCATCCCCTCAGCAATTTCTCCCGTACTGTTCTCGGTCTTACTGCCCGCAGGATCCTGTATTCCGTCTGGTCCTGTATCTGCTTCTGCTGCTCTTTCGGATAGGTAGCTGATCCCTTCCTCTTCTGTTCCTTTTTTTTTTGGCCTGCACGAGAACTATGAGGCTAATTGGTTTTTCAAATGTGTTCGGTTTCTCTTGCCCCTGGATGCCAATTTTTTTCTATTTTTCTGCTTATTCCAGGTTCTATTTTTTTTCTTGGCAGAGTTGAATAATGTCATTAGATCATTTTGCGTCGAGATTCTATCTCACTCTAAATTTTGGTGCTCTGATTTCTTTTACCTTTTCGCTCTGTAATTTTTCTCCAACGTTTCCCAACATATTTCTAGGAGTTCGGTCACAATGTCTTTCATACTGTGAGTCATTTAGTGATGGAGTTTATTTTTTCGCTTCTTCAATGAGCATAATTATCATGGTATCTTGTTAACTACTCATGTTATCGGTGGTGTTTTTCGGCTTGTGGGTACCTGAGATTCGCATTTTCTTTTTGGATTTCCCATATTCTCTGTTGAGGGGGCTACTTTTATTCGCACATTGGAGGCACATACCTCATTTTATTCATTACCTTGAACATTGCCTTCGTTTTTCCAAATAATTGCCGCACATTCCTCCCGAGCTGTCAAAGAGTTCGTTTTCTTTATTTTTCTCACTCTTTATTGAATCTTAGCTAATTAATAATTGCCGCACATGCTGGTTTTGACAGATATTGCTGCCAATTCGGGACAAAATTTTGTCTCTTCTATATCTGCAAAGTTATCCTGTAAAGTTTGGAAAACTATCAGTGTTAAAAATACGTTAAAATCTAATCAATGCTAATTTTTTCGTGCCCTTCTCATAAGATAAACATTAAATGCATGGATCCGCATTTCTTTTTCCAACCATCGTCAGAGGAGCATTGATCATTAATCATTTTCATCTTCTCCGATCTGTGTTGGCGTTTCTTCTTTATGCTAACAGGTAGAGTGCTCGCTGAAATCATGCAATCGTTTTGGAGAAACCTTTGTTGCAATCAGAGCCGTGTTGCCAGTACTGGGATTCTGCATTTGAAAGAATTCAAAATCTCTTCAAATACTTGCCACGGATTATCTACTTCCGGATGCACCTCTGGTGGGGTAGGGGAGGCCATACATTGTCTTCGGCATGTAAGAAGCAGTGAAAACCTAAATGTAGTTCCTTTCTATCTTAAGCTTTCTCATTGAACTTTTGTGTCTGTCTAAAACGTCCTAATGTGTAAATCATAAAAGAGCACAATAGTGTTGTTTTGGTGGGCCCATAAGGCCCAAACACATTTTATTTTCTTTGGTCTTGTAATTGTTTGCTGGTATATAGGAAATTGTAGCTGCTACCGAGTTTGTTATCAGATACTATTGTTTTAGAAATCTACAACTACTTTTGGGATATTTAAAGGGGCATGGACTGTCGATCAGAATGGTTTATTTTTGTTTCATAAAAGAAGAGGTTTTTTCTCCCCCTCTCTCTACTTTTGAATTCAATCTGAGCTTGTGGCAGACTTTATCTCCTTCTGACGATGATAATGACTGTTTGATGGTATTGGGACGGGTAGTTCTTTTGGTAAATTGGCATAGAAGGAATAATAGGATATTAGAAAGTCTCTGTCTCTCTCCCTTTCTCTTTCTCTCTCTCTCTCTCTCTCTCTCTCTCTCTCTCTCTCGCTATCTATCTATCTATCTATCTATCTATCTATCTCTCTCTATCTCTTTCTCTGTCTCTCTCTCTGAACTTGCTCAACTAGTTTCCAGTTTTGGACTGCTAAGAGTATCTTTTGGTTCATTGCTGTCAGTCTTCTCTGTTGATTCTTCAATTTATGGACTGTATTTATCATTTTCCCACACAGTGTGTCCGTGCCCTTTCTGTTTACTCATTACCTATCAGGACTACTTTCATGCATATATTTTGGATCTACAGGCGTAAGTAGATGGTTTACGACAGTCTGAACCGGTCTTTGATGTTATTTTAGGATATCCACATAATCATGCCATACATTTGAGACTGCCTGTGCAATGCAAAGTCATGTGATAATAATATAGGAAAAATTCTTCTTTCACTTTCATTTAAAAGCTGGGGCAGAACTTTTGGATTTTTTTAAAAAATTCGATGACATTTTCTCTATTCTCCAACGTTTGACCCTTCTTCTTCTCTCTTCTGGGTATTCTGCTACAACTGTAGGTTATTTTATCACCTATGCAGGAATTCCTTGGCATCTATCCTCTTGTAGACTGGAAACTGCATTTTTTTTCTTCATTTTTTTGTGATTTCCGCGGGAAAACGGTTTGCAGCTTGTAACTACTGCAATTTGGATTGCTTTTGCAGTAAGAAAAATTGAGGATAAACACATCTATTTTTGTAGCAATAGTTCTGTTTCGTTTCATTGCCATAGTCTTTCAAATATTCCTTCTTTCTGCCAGCTTGTTCTCTTGTTTAATCCCATCCAACTCTGCAAATGTTGCCGCTAGGTCTCTAGCAGTAAAGTGTCCTCATGTCCCCATCTTTACCCCCAGAGATATTTTTGTGATTGTCCTAGGCATTCTCCCCCTCCAGCCAGAAAAAGGGCTACTCGTTTTCTCAGGGCGACACTATGGAGCTACCCAGGCTCCATCAACAGTGGCAAGTCTCCTGACCTAAGACCCTTGCTAGCCTAGTAGTCGCACAGCCCTTTGGAACCCTACTGGAGGAGTGGTGTATATCCTAGGTGCCACCACCATACGCCTCCCCTCCATTAGATGCTGTGGTGATGACTGCATGATGGCTCCACAGTGGCATGGCCTTATTATCGCATCAATGTTGTAGATGCTGCTTTGCTGGTGGCGGTTTCTCCACACATTGACAAGTAGATGAATGTATGCACACCATGCGGTTTTCCTTACCCCTGTTTGCATTTCCAAACATCTATCTTATGGAGGCTTTATCAGAGTTTCTAGAAATGTCTTTAGGTCTTGATGATTACGTTTGTCTTCTCTTCTTCTTCTTCATTCTGTCCAGTCAACAACCATAGGAGATGGACAGTGATCAATATTTCCATTGGGGTAGTTCCTCGTATAATCTGAGCTGCCTACTGTAGTTGGGGATGCGGCGGCTCATTTTTTTTAGACAACTTATAGGTCTGCTGCTGATGCCGGTTCCGACCAACTAGAATGGTAGATATGGGTCACGGAAATTGGGACTGTGCTGCTTTAGGTCGGTGGTAATGCGAAGCCTATCTTCAGAGTCGCCGGTGATGGATGGGGTTTGCCACCATCATGATGCTATGCTGAACTTGGTATCCATGCTGTTTAGCTGTTGGAGAAGTCACTCTATTTCCAAGTCTGCCTTCTCTTTCTTACCCGAGTTGCTTCTATATCCTGTTGCAGTAGCGAGTTGAAAAGAAACCATCTCAATGACTCATCATTTCCTGTGCTGTTGCATCTCCTCTCTCTGTATTTGAAGGTCTCTTTCCACAGAGCCTCGTGCTTACATCAATTATTGAGTTATTGACCAGCTTGACAATGGATTGTGCAAGCTTTATCTGGGAGAATTATGACTCTGTATTCGTTTACACTGATTCCCAGCATGACTTCTGCTCCTCAAGTGTTTTGTCGAGGTCATTTCGTATATATGGATATGCATATTATTGACGTCGTGATTTTTTTTAATCAAATATTCTGATTTAAATCTTAATTTCGTTGCCTCTTTCAGGAAATAGGCTTTCCTTCCTACAGAGGACTCCATTCATTTTTAAAGCATCGGTTTATTGGACCCTACACTGCATGGATCAATGCCCCTTTAAGGAACTTGACAACAGACGTCTATCCTGGGAAACCTGTGGATGAAGACAGATCTGTTGCCACCACTGATGCAGTCGAGCCTCAACGCATAAAATTCAAAAGGCTTGATAAAACAGCCAGACACATAATGAATGTGAGGCTCTTGATAAAATTTTGTTCTTGTTTTTACAGGGTATATTACCTGTTAATTTGTCTCAGAAGAATGACTCCTTTTCCTCATTAACTGCAGATTTTGGACAAGGAAGAAGTAGACAAAGTGAAAGGAAGCAGGGATATACCTGATATAAAGCCTGGGTGTATTGTCCAACTCAAAGTGGTAGGTCTTTAGGACGAGATAATTCCATTTTTATGAGTGACGAGGGTAATATCCGGCCATGAACTTAACCCTCTAGGTTTTCGGGTGCAGGAAGTGCCAGAAAATAAGTCCCGGGTGTCAGTACTGAAGGGCATTGTGATTGCTAGGCGCAATGCTGGCCTGCATACTACATTCCGACTACGGAGAATGGTAGCAGGTGTAGGAGTGGAGTCCGTTTTCCCTCTGTAAGTTTGGCTGGCTGCCTCATTTTTCACGAATATTTATATCCCCTAGGTTTGTTCTGCTCACAGTTGAACCCCATTTTGTGTGGTTGAAAAAAACTTTAGAGAAGAAATATTAGGAAGTCGTTTGTACATTTACGAAGACATTGCTTTGAAATAATGGCAACATAGTGAGCCAATTATACATCACTCGGATACCATGAAAATTAGGTTTTAGGAAGCCACTAATGGCTGTTTCGTTGCTGAAGGCAAGTAGCCAAAAGCCATAAACATGATGAGAAGATAGATAGTCTTCGCATCTGATAGTTCCTTGGTTCATCCTCGGTGAGCTAAGCGATGTCCTTGACTGCCACATGTGGATGATGGCTGTACGATCCAAATGAATATGAGATTTTGTCTCGGATTTATCTTCGCAATTGCTCGTTGTATGTGAACATGAGGATATGCGTTTTTCTTGTTCGTGAACAATAGTTAATTACTATTTTTGATAAAAAAACTGGTATTGATAATTTTTGTGAAAGAGATGACTGTTCAATCTACATGAATGTGAGATTTGGTCTGGGATTTATCTTTGTCATTGTTTCTAGTACGTGAACATGCAGGTATGCTCTTTTTTTCTATTCATGGAAAATATTTAATGACTAATTTGCATCAAAAATCAGTATTTGATACGTTTTGCTTAAAGCGATTTGGAAACCTTACTACTTATAAGAGAATGAGGTTTTTGGCTGTGATGTGGCTAACATAGAAAGATCCATTGTTCTGCATTGGGTGCTTTATTTCTGAGATTGGGTTGGATCTTCAATGCGTCTGCTAGTCTTTTATTGGGATCATATTAACCTGGGAAAGTTAGGTGTATTCTTCTTAATCAGGTTGAAATATGAGTGAGACGACCTTTTTAAAAAAAAATAAAAAAATAAAAAATAAAATAAAAATCAGTGAAGGCATCCCCAGTAATTTCGAATATTGGGCTGAAATAAATAATCACCGAATGGCTCGACTCCATCTTTTATTAGATATTTATTACAAATATGATCTAATCCCCAGTGTAGGCCTTCATTTGGGTCCTTTCTAATGCGGAAAACCATGCTCTCCGGAATAATTTTTTTTTTGATGTTCTTCGTTCATTCGTTCATTCATTCATTCATTCGTTCATTCATTCATTCATTCATTCATTCATTCATTCATTCATTCATGGTCAGGTACTCCCCGAACATCAAGGAGATGAAGGTGCTGGACAAGAAGGACGTCAGGAGGGCGAAGCTCTATTACTTGAGGAACAGGATGAATGCTCTGAAGCACAAATGAAAGACTCTTCCAGGAAGAAAGTCAAAACAATCTCGAATTTTTGAGTTCCCTTTTTCTTCGCGATTTTTCCTTCTCGCCAGCGAAGGAAAAATAAAAATCTCTGATTTCCCCCCAGATAAAATGGACCCTATTTATTGGGTCATATAATGCAGGACGAACCATGTCCGTACTTGCATCTAATGGGCCAAATGGGCCCTCTGATATCGAGCCTGAGACTCTTTAAATGGGCCAAGTGTCCGTCGATAACACAGCGCAGGCCCGTAGTTCTGCTAACTGGGGTAGTTCTGCAATTCCGTCTCGAAGGAGGTCCAAACTCGAGCGCTGGGGCCCACGAAGTGACGGCTCGACATCGTCATTCCAAGTTAGGGTAAGAAGGGGGGGGGGGGGATAGATTTTGTGGTGGGCCCCACCAACACTCAAGCCGCGTCTTATTTAACAACTTGGTTTCGCCATCACCGGGCCGAGGGGATTTAAACGAGAATGGGTCAGTCCCCAACATATCCCCTCTCTCTCTCTCTCTCTCCCTCCCCCTCTGGCTCTCAAGGAGAGGAGAGACGGCGCCGCCTCCTCATCACTCAACGAACCCTCTTTAATGACCCAATGGTCCTCTCCCACCCGTTATCGGACCAGCCAAGAAAACTACAGCAAACAGATACATAAATAAAATAAAACCCCCTAATAAATAAATAAATAAATAAATAACTGAAACCCAATGAGTAGTTTCGGTCGGCGCATTGAACCTTACAGCGAGGAAATACATAAATCCCTTTTCATATAAGGCTTCTATGGATCCCCCCGGGAACCCAGCCCTCAAAGGTTGGACTTCTCTCTACTAGACCCAACCCAAAGAAAGGTGGAAACTTTGGCGGGGGATCAGAGGGGTCCACGCTCACCGGTCAACGGACGTCCAATCACCGATACCACCAAATACAGCCTGTTTTGGGCGTCACATTAATGAATATTCGTGCAAACTACTTTAGCTCCCCTGTAGTCTCGGAAATGCTCAGTTTTTCCGCTTCGGGGAACTTTATGAAATGAAGGCCTAAACTACACAGGTAAGTTATTATTTTTACAGATTTTTTTTTTTTGGGCATGCGTGGGTGTTGTTGTAAGAGGGAGTTGAGAACCCACGTCATCGATTGGCATCACTGATCGGATGAAGGTTGTAAGTTTGTTGTAAAATGATTTTTCTAATGTTTTTCCAACGATTATGTCGTTAAAAATCAGGGTATATTTTTTTACTGGATATTGTGCAATTTGATCCAAGATGACAGGGAAAAGACGCCAAGAACGAGCTCTCATTTGACGACGAGTGCGCTGTAATTTGCTCCAAGGCCTTCAACGATGACTCTGGACTGCTGGGTCTTAGTTGTTCGCATAATTATCATAAATGTTTTTTTAAAAGGAAATTCTAATAAATCCAGATATAAGTTAGAATATTATTTTTTTAATATTTTTAAAATACCATTCGAGGTATAAATTATGTCAAATGATTGGCCTCTAACAACACAAGCGTAAGGGTGTCAGGAGGCTGACCTCTCAGAGCGATGTTGGTCCTACTCAACCTGAATTCATGTGGTAGATGAGCTCTACTTCATGCCTTTTAAATGAATGGCGATGACCCAGTGCTTTCTGGGCCCCTACATGAGAGTGTGTCTGTGTGTGTGTGTGTGTGTGAGAGAGAGAGAGAGAGAGAGAGAGAGAGAGAGAGAGAGAGAGAGAGAGTTTAATTAATGAGTGGGGATGAAATGATAATAATTATAAATGGCGGCACCGCATTAAAGAGAATGGGTGAGCCCCCAACTTGTCCTCTCTCTCTCTCTCTCTCTTTCTTGCGCTGAAGAGTGGAGGGACGGCGCCGCCTTCTCATCACCCAACAGATAAATTAAATGAAACCCAACGAGTAGTTTCGATCGGGCGCCTTAAACCTCCTAAGAAAATCCCCTTTCATATAAGGGTTATATGGTTTACTCCTGAACCTAGCCCTCAAAGCTGACTTTTTACTCGACCCACACCAAAGAAAGGTTAAAACTTGGGCGCGGGCTCAGATGGGTCCATCCTCGCCGTTTTTTTGCCGGGGGGCGGCGGTACATGTGGGAAATGCTCCGTTTTTTCCTCTTCCAGGAACTTTATAAAATGGGGCTCTAAACTAGACAGGTAAGTTATTATTTTACAGATTTTATTTTGGTTGGCATGTATGGACGTTGTTGTCGGAGGTAGTTGAGTACCCACGTCATGGATTGACACCACCGATCAGATGAAAAGGTCTGAAGATTTTTTTTTTTTTAAATTCTAATGTTTTTTCAAGGATTATGTCCTTAAAAATCAGGGCATATTTTTTTAACTGGTTATTGAGTAATTTGATCCAAGATGATCGGTGCTACTCAGCGTGCGTTCATGTGGTAGATTAGCTCTACGTCATGCCTTTGAAATGCATGACAATGACCCAGTGCTTTCTGGGCCCTACAGAAGCGAGAGAGAGAGAGAGAGAGAGAGAGAGAGAGAGAGAGAGAGAGAGAGAGAGAGAGAGAGAGAGAGAGAGAGAGAGAGAGAGAGAGAGAGATGGGCTCTGACGTGGACTGCAATGGGACAGCCCCGTGGCGACCAGCAGAGCTCGGCCCTGGGATTACACCCCCCGTCCAAATGGGTTGCCATTGAGGGCTTATCGTCCAGATTACGACGCGTTCACAGTTTTGGTCTAAACTGTGAACATGTCGTACGACTTTTATTACACAGGACATGTCCATCTGAGTTTCGCTCAAAGAAGAAAAGCTAGATCTTCGGCGGCAGAGGCTCGAGCACCCAGTCCCAGAAAGAGGAGGTGACGCCGAACCCCACGGTTTGGATTTTGAAGTGATGGTCCATGTGGTAGCGCTGCATAAAAGAAAAAACCCGGAGGATGGTAGGAATTTGAGGGAGGATTCCATGTTGGTTTCTTTCTGTTGGTAGAAAAAAGAGGCAGATGCGTCGACCTTGAGGTTCCGGGCTGAGTCAACGGAGGGCAGATGGAGGTAGCACTGAGTGCAGTCGTAGATGATGTAGCCCAGGAACACGCCGCCGAACAGGGCCGGGGCCATCGACGGCGCCACCACGAGCTTGCTGAGGTACCAGATCTGGAAGACGCAACACTTGTGAAAATGGGTGATTAGGATAAGAAGCAGGAGGTGGAACCAGGCGGGAAAAAAGTTGAATAAGCAGAGAGAGAGAGAGAGAGCAACGTTCAAATAACAGGTGCAACAAAGAATGACATTCTAAGTCTGAGTTTGTTGAATCAGAAGAAGCCAGGATCCTGATCCTGGACAAATTGAAGTTCTGACCTTGGATTGGCCAAAATTTCTACTGCATCCAGATCTAAGGACATGAACCAGTCCAATCTTGGATACCCATGTAATCTTCTCCCAACCTTTTTATAACTGGGTTTCAATCAATAGGCATTAAATAACATGTTTTCTATTATCAATAAACACCATTGGCCATGAAAAGTTTTCTGCAAGACTTCATACCCATGGAATTTCTTTTTTCTTTTTCTTTTTTACTAATCTGAAAAACTAGCACCAGAGTGAGGAGTAGAAAAGGCCGTTACCGGTATGCATGCAACAGTCGTCGCAGCAGGTGGGTAGACGAGGCGTACCCTGTCCATTGGGTGCTTATGATGGTAACCATGGATAAGATAATGTGCAGTGTTTCCCCTGCATTAGCAATATATACATATATATGTATATATATGTAGAGAAAGAGAGCGGCATCAGACTCAGAAGAGAAGTCATGAGAAAAATTATTAAAGAAAAATGAAGGGTGGTGGAGGATTTCTTCACTAGTAGCTCTTAGTCTTGATGTGGAAGAGGAAGCGGTGAATAATATACTCCCATAATGTCCAGAAGAGCATTCCAGAGGCCACCATTACAGCTACTTGAGGAAATGTGCACCCCATCAGGACGGATCGGGAGATCGACCAGCAAACCACTGGAAGCCAGATGATAGGAATCGCCCACCACACGGTTTGGATTCTGGGTTTCAAGAACTGTTTTTGGATTAACATAAATGGTAGGTAAACTGCAATGAGAAAAAAAAGATTTCCACCTCACAGAAATCACTCTTGAATAACCGAGGGCTTTCCTTGGAGACAATGGGCTGGTGAACCCATTGCTCATAGGTCTCCCCAAGATGGCCAACCTTAAAAAAGAAATAAAATATGAAAATTGAAGTCTTATTATTTCGTTTAAATGGTTTTTTTTTCTCCCGGTGCTGCATTCAGTTGACAAAATGATTACCATCATGAGAGGTCTCAAAGGCAAGGAGGAAACATACCTGGAATGCAAGGTGTGCATTTAAATCTACAGTAAACCCCACCTTGGCACCTGGTCCAATTTCAGTAGGAATGAGCAAGAAAAGAAAACCCATTTTTTGGTGTGTATCTAGAAATATGTTTTCCGGAAGATGAAAGCCAAGAAGGTGTACAAAACCAATAAAATTGTTTTACTTTTTGTGATTACGAAATACAGCTACACTTGATTGAGCTTTTGAGATGATCATCAAAAGACTTGATCGATATGAAGGGTCTACTGTCGAGATAATAGAGAGTGATAATAATGATATGAGAATGAAAAAAAATCATACCCAAGTCCATGATGACTCAGAAGTGGGGTGTGGCCTTTTGGATCAACATAATGGAGTTGTCCTATAACTTCCTCAAAGAGTGATGGAATGCTCCAAGAGTGATTCTCAATCTGTGACTCAAGTACCTTGACCTCCTTTATATAGATAAGTGGTGGTTATTTTCTTGGTATTCTTTTCTAATTTAGCCCCTCATAAAATTAGAATAGGACATGGTCTCTATAAATTTGTATTTATGTTCACACTTATGTGAGATGCTGTAATTTCAAATACTTAAGCTTTAGTGAACGATTTTAATTAAGATTAACTTAATGATAAACTCATAACATAAAATTCATATATATTTTTTCACATTGAAAGCAAATCTAACAATTTCTCACTTAGAC